GAACGTGCCCGTCGCGAAGTTTCGCCAACGAAGGAGAGGATAGGAAGAGCAGTGAGGATGAATGTGGTTGAAGAAAGTTGGTGAGAGAATGGTCTGGAGGGGAAAGGGGAGGGGAAATGAGAAGATAGGAAAATACGTCATGGCGCTAACGGACCGCTTAATGGATTAGGAGGAAGTAAACATCGTCAAAGAGAAGAAATTAACGAGAAGTTGGCGACCGATAATCCTCCTATTCTCTTTCCTTTCCCGATTGCTCCCGATTTCGTCAGTTATTCGGATTTTCTGTGCCGAGTATATTTGCGCCCGATGAAAATAATTTCCTGATTTGCCGATGGTAGTTTCACAAGAACGAAAGATTGTTCCGATCGGTTAATTGCAAAAATAAAGTGACAAAAGTAAAAAATTTTTATTGCATCTACGTACACGATTCTGAAAAAAAAAAACCAAGATTCAAGTCCTTATAAAATGTAATTTATTCTTTTAGAATTTCAGAAAAAGAAAGAAAGATAGAGAAAGAGAGAACGAATTCAAGCAATTTAGATTGAAAATAAAGATTTAAGATAAAGAGCTTAAAAGACCGAAGATCTTATTATTGCATTCAATGATGAGATTCAACGCATTAAAAAGTAATACAAAAATATCGCAAATTGTACGAGTATCTTTAAAGTCTTTAAACTTTGTAAAATGTTAAATTAAAAGTTAAAAAATAAATAAATTTTAATTAGTATTCTGGATATATCATCAAGTATCTCTCGCTGTATTATTTTTTTATATTCTACTTTATTTGTAAGTTACAAAGCATTCCAACAAGATACCTCAAAATGTCAAGCGTAAATAGAGTTTCTGAAACTTTATGAATTCAAGACAACAGAAAAATTCTTTCAATAAAATATTACGATCAGTGAGAATCCGCCAACTTTTTTCCAAGACAAACTTCTTTGCGGTCGGAAATAACGATAACTTTATTCGTCCGTCCGTGCATCTAGCATATAATAAAGTAGACGACGAAGCGCTCGGTTGCCGATCGTAAAATAATCATCGCCCGCGGGCGGCAGTTATGTATCTGGTCGAGGTACCGTCATTTTCTCGGAGAATTTTGTGGAACAAATGAGGATGGTGGTGTGAGAGGAAAGGACTATCGCTGGGCATGGGCGAAGGTAACCGTAGCAGATAGCGGGAGATAAGTCGTGTAAAAGGTACGGAAAATCTGCAACGATACGATGAACGTGAGAGGAGCGGCTGGGGTGAGGAAGAAGAGGGAGGTGAGCGATAGGGAAGCTCCATGAGGGAAATATAGCGGAAGGGGTGACGCTGGTGCCATGAGAGATAGCGGAGGACGTAGGAGGTCGCTGAAAAAGATCGAGAGACAAATCTACCTCGCGTAAGGGGGTCCGCCGGAGACGAGGCGGGTTGAAAAATAGTCGCGAAAGAATTTCTTATTAGATTGAAAATTGAAATAAACTCGTAGTGACGTCGGTTGCATCGATTCTCGCGGCTCCTACTGTACCTCGATCACGCGAATCGGGTCACTGGAGGACAGATATCCTGGCCAGGATAGCTCCTAGAAACGTGACGCGCATTGCGATATACGTTATTTTTACAAATACGCTTTCAACAATTTTCTCAGCTTTACCGGGGTAAATCCTGGAGTTGTTGCATTTAAAGAAATAAGAATGCTAAACTTCGAAAATCGTACGAGTTAAAATATGAGAATTGTTCATTTCTCAAAGGTGTAAGAGAAAAGTGTCAAGTAATTTATTAACTTAAAGATTTAAGAGATTTTAAAAGAATAAGTTTTGAAAAGGAGAGAATAATTGAACTTCTAAAGAGTTAAAACTTAACTCGATAATAAGATATAATATTATAACGAGATAATAAAAATCCTAAAAAGCTTGGATAATAATTTTTATGTTAGGAAGAAATATACATACAAATTATTAAACCTAAACTCAACAAGTGTTACATTTAAACAATAAAAGTGTTATTAAAATAACTGAAGATATACGATGAAAAAAATTAATATATTTGTCAAAAAATTATAAATAATAGAATAGTAGTTTCTGCGATGTAGTAATATAATACAAATTGAGGTTCGGATAAGTCTCTATGTAAGTCAACGTTTATGATTGAGCTAAATATAATATGACATCGCGTGATAAAAAGCCTTTATTGAAAAATACTTTGCCAATATCGACAGATGCCGTCATGAAAAAAATTCACAAAAGTTTATTGGAAAGTTCACAAAGAAACCTTAAGCTGTTTGAATTTTAAAAAATAAATAATTTTTCAACATTGTAATTTTTAGGATATTAATGTTATCTCAACATGTTATTGTTATATTTTAATAAAAATTTAAACAAATTAAAGGAAATAAAAAATTCTAATAAAAAGCATTAAATAAAGAAAAAATTATTTTTAATAAAATACTGTTTTTAATCCTTTTAAAAGAATAATCAATCTATTTCTGTTATATAAATGTGTTTTTTTAACAAGTTGTTTACATATTTTTAAGTTTATTTTTTTTATAAATATAAATTTTTGCGGCAATATCGTTTGTAGAATTTTTAATAATTATAAAAGCTCTTTGAAAGAAAGAAGTAAAGGGAAAGCCAATATTTTAATATGTATAACATGTACCTAATCAAACACTCCACAAACGATTATCTGAATGGATGTGAGCGATGGTCATTATTCGTGGACATTAAATCATAATGTGCATGTATAATCAGTGTGGTATTTCTCCCGCTGAAATCACGGATCTGTGTTTGCCAATTTCGGAAGGAAGGAAGGGATAAAGGGACACGAATTACTGGATAGTGATTAGTTTGACATCAACGATTTGTGTGATTCTTCGATCGTTATGAATTCCTGCGCATCCTTTCTAATTAAAGCATTTCGCATTTTTTCCCGCAATAATCTCGTATTGTTTTTTTTTCGTGTATTGAGCCGCATACAAATTAATTTTTCTATTATTATATATTCAGCAAATATATATAACAGTGCTTTTGTAATTTAATATTGAATACAATTAGATAGATTTGAATATAAAATGCTTATCAATGCAACATTTTCCAAAAGTATTATTAGTATAATTAATTCTAAAAGAGATATTTCAACAAAAAGATTTAAAGGGCCGATATGCGGACGTGTTTTCTCTGTGCCATTTAAAAAAAATTTAGTATTATAAAAAATATTGATAATGTCACAAAAATAAAATTTACAGTTTTTTTATGCGTTGTTTTCTATTAATATTGTAATAAAAATATCGAGATTCTGTGTTCAAATCTTTTACGTACTCTAAAGTCGTTATATTATTGCATTTCTTTATCTGTATTATACAGTAACATAAATAAAGTTACGTTTTCTTTAACTTCAGAGCAAATTTGCATAAGAATGTAAACATGAAGCACGCAATTCAAATTTTAGTTTGTACTTTAGTTTAATAAATTGCTTGCTGTAATATCACGCTGCTTTTTCTTCGAGCACTGCGTAACTGTATGATCTCGACAAAAATCAAGTTGATTCGTCTGCGAAATGTAAAGCTTTTCAGAAGATTTGCTAACAAGTCGTTTTACGTTAACTCGTATTTCGCGAGCGCGAGTAATAACTATATTCGTCTAGATCCTGTATGTTTGATGTATCTTCTCTTGCAAGCTAACTAACTATAATACTAATCGGATTTCCAGGATGAAATCTCTATGCAGGATTTCTATCTCAGAATTGCAATTCGGTATAAACGCACCACATGCTATCGTCAAGCATTAAGTATATCTAAAATTATTTACTATAATTCTTCTCCTAAAACAGTTGTTATATCCAATATATGTATACAGAAGGAAACGACGCAGGAAAGTGATCGGGTAAATTCTGTTTTTTTTTCCCTGCCATTCATCGAGAAAATGCCACCTATATGTATATTTCCACCTATAAAATATATTTCCGTTCTGTAATCGAACGAGTCGCATGATACTGCGTATGTGAGATCGTATCCTTTTCAAAGCATCCGCGAATATTAAACGAGCTGCCGCGAAGCGTAAATCAAAGCGAACTCCTTTGAGGACTCCTGCACGCGATTCGGCGCGCTCCAAAGAGTTTTGCGTCTCTTACGGTGGAACAGCGATAGCAAAACAAGCGCTGGCTAGAATCAGCGAAATAGACGCGTAAGCAAATAAACTGTATATGAGATACCGACCCAGTAAGCCAAGGATATTCCTTTGGCTATTTGCAAACGCAAAAGCAAACCTTGCTGAAATCGAACTCTAACATATGTAAGAGTTTTTATTAAGTTTAATGACAAGTTGAAAAAGCGGAATAACTTAAATGAATGGGACGAAGTAATTAGAGAGATCTAGTAACCTACTATAGAGTTCTTTTTAAAATTCAAGATACCGAAAATCTATATACGTTGAGAATAAAACTGATAAAACTGTCTTGTTGAATTTTTTAAGAAAGAACCTCTTTTCGATCTGCAGCTATAAAATAGAATTTGGCAACATTCGAGCTAGTTGCATGCCCCATTGCATTGTAACAAGATCAACCGTGAACCTGGAGCTGCAGCTGCATACAAGCCATCGGAAATAGATTATCGTGCAAAACTGGAGACCGCCGCAGGATTACTTGGAATACGATATGCAGCTTAACACTAATATGCCGTTTCTCTCATTGGCGTTATGGTTCTTTATACAATATATTCCGACTTCCAACACATATATTTATACAGTGTGTATTAGAATAGATGTAGAACCTTTTAAAATAAATGATTATACTTTTCTAAATTGTAAAAATATTTATAATTTATTCGTCTTTTTCTTTCTACATTTCTAACGCATTTTAATTACATTTTCACAATACATGAAGTATTAGCAAGTCTAATAAGAACAAAAATAAAAATATTATATAATAATTTCATAGATTCGCTCTGCTTTTTCAGAAAAAAATAAATTAAAATTTTAGTTTATTCTGTCATATACATATGTTATAGTAGATGTTTGTGGTTACAGGCATGAAACCGAAAATGAAGAATCATTATAGAGCGCATCAGCTGTCGGTCTGGCTGCGCCTCGTCCCAGAGCTTCATCGTGCCGGAATGGAGGATGTCGATTCCAGACACAACTTGTTCCGCGGCCATAGCGACCCCAGTCTATACGACGGCTTCGTGAGACCAGATCCTCTTAGCAGGATCAGCGAAGAGTTCAAGAGGAAGAACCTTAGCACGGATCCACCAACCACGACGGATTATAGCATCACGACATGCGTCAGCCTTATTCCGGGCACCAATCTTCAAAACGTCCATAACGCCAGCACCGACACATTAGCCAGCTTGGACGCTGCGGGGTAATTATCCTGATTCATAATGATATCAAAGTTATTTTCCCAAATTTTAAGTACTTTTGTCTAGAAATCTCCCTTTACCAATCTGGGATCGATACGTGATAAATATCACCTCCTATATAAATGAATACGCGGCGCGGTCCAATTATTTATTGAAATGGCGCGCGTTTATAAGGAAAACAGATTGTGCCGCAAGTGAAATAAATAACAATTGCAACGGAAATCGAATCATTTCGTAGCTCTGATATATTTTCGTAAAGAGCTATGATTCGGGGAAGCAACATATATCAGAATACAATTGAGTTAGCAAATACACTTCTAATAGGTATAAGAACAGAATTGTATCATGATTGCAAATCCAGAATATATCAACGTTGTCATTGATAAAATTCTCGTTCCTTATTTCTCTGCAACATGCTTAAAAAATTCAGCAAAACTGAGTGCCGTTAACAGCGTAAGCTGAAGCGCACTCTACTCTTTAACTTGCTTCGAATCTATCGGCAGTTCCCCCAACATGTCGCTATATATGTTCGGCCAGTAAAACTTTGCCCATGACAAAATGGCATGAGATGAAACGTCATTTCGTAGCCATAGTTTTGCGAGAATATTTTAGAGTCATGAAATTTGCATCATATGGGTATTCTCGGAGTATATGGTGGCTAAGCAACTGTGTGCTTTACAGAACTTCTATGCTGCTGCAATAGTTTTGAAAATAAAATTTGTTGCGAACTTTAATAGAATTATAACTTCTATTATTTATATTTTCTATTCTAATTTCTATTATCTAAATAAATTTTTGTTTACACCAATAAAAATTATTATTTAAAACATTAAATTCTTTCCACTTTTTTTTACGAGAAATAAAATATATTGGAGCTTTTCCAGCACGTTAAAGTATTAATTAAGAAATTTCTTATATGTGTAGTTACGCGGCGTATTCAACAGCTTTAAGCGTGACAATCGCGATCGGCTGCAGCTTGCTGATCTTAAATGTCCTGATATTCGCCGGCGTTTATTATCAAAGAGATAAAACGCGGCTTGAGGTGAAGAGCCTTCAGCAGCAACAAATGTTAAATCAACAATGTGGTCCTCGTGGTTTCACCGAACTGAAACAACCACCACCTCCGCATTCCCATTACGCTGGTGGCGGCCAAGTGATCGTCGATGTCGAGAATGAAATGTTAAGAAGGTATCGAAATGTTATTCTGATTTCTCTTATTATTTATTTGCTATTTTATCTATTAATAATGTCATTATCATTGATCAGTAAAAATGAGATATATTATTTTATGGCAAATTCACTGAGAACAAAAGGAAAAATGTGTGAATATCTTTTATTAAGATAGAAATTTTTATAATTTTTGCTAAATTACAACAAAAAATGTGTCGCGCCATATAATTATGCTTATCTTTTTTTTTATTTATTTCCATTATTTCTATTACAGGAATGTAATGAAAGGTCCTCCTAACGATTCTAGCGTTCCTTTTCAAGGCCAAGGAACTCATACACTGCCTCATCAACATCATTACCAAAAACAGCATCAGCAGCAGCATGCCACTCTTCCTCGAACCTCAGTCATTCAAGACATAAATACGCAAACTCAAGTAAGCAACTTCTATTTTATTCTACGCAATTAAAAAAAATAATTATTATATAAAATGTGTATATTAAATATATCATATAGTATATATAAATTGAATTGTAATAATTATTATCATAATATTCTTTTTGTATAAAACCTTTTAAAATCACAATTGTGAACGGTGCAATTAAATTTTTGTAAAATTTATTTTACTAGCACTACAAACGCGCGCTTCGCGCGCACTATTTAATACTTCTTACTATAATTTACAATTAAATAATTTACGTCAATACACACAACTGTCAAAATGCAATGTCACAGCCGCTTACGAGAAGTAAGCGCAGCAAGAAAACCAATCAACCAATTTTTTTTTTACTTACCATCATCCACCACCACCACACAGCACCACTACCCACCACCACCACCCATCACCACCATTCACCACCACACCACCAGGTCGATTTTTTATATTTTTCGATTTCTGCAATAAAAATTTTTCCGAGAAATTTCTCGGGTCAAAATCGATATATGACTATGTAGGAGTTGACATAAATCGATTTTTTATATTTTTCGATTTCTGCAATAAAAATTTTTCCGAGAAATTTCTTGGGTCAAAATCGATAAATGACTATGTAGAGTTGACCTAGGTCGATTTTTTATATTTTTCGATTTCTGCAATAAAAATTTTTCCGAGAAATTTTTCGGGTCAAAATCGAAGAATGACCATGTAGGAGTTGACCTAGGTCGATTTTTCATATTTTTGGATTTCTGCAATAAAAATTTTCTCAACAAATTTCTCGGATCAAAAATCGATAAATGACCATGTAGGAGTTGACCTAGGTCGATTTTTTATATTTTTTTAAATAAAATCACGATTTTTTAAAAATAGCCACATAATTCATCTTTAAGATGAGCCTAGAAAGAAGTGTATATCTTTATTTTTCTGGAAGATATGAATTTTTAAACATTGGGGAAAAGAGGCTTCAACGCAGGTAACACGGCAATTTTAAGATAGGAAACACTTTTTACTGTTAGATTTTATTTTTTAAAATTTATAATATTAGAGTATTTACATGAAGGAAATATGAAAAACATAATAAAACAGTAAATGATAACGTATATGACATAAAATTGATAGCTTCTCGGCATAGTATTTTCTCTAATAAAGTACATTGCAAAGTCTGTTAAACTTTTTGAACTTAAGACTTAGTATCTGAGTAAGACGTAGGTAATAACGTATCGAAATTATGATGATAAAATACGAGGCGCCGCTGCTTTCTTGCATATATTATATCTGACTTTAGAAACTTTTTTAATAAGATTATGAATCGTAATTTAATAGCATAATGAAATTTTTTATCTAAAAATGAATAATAATGGTTTTTAAAATTTTGTATATACTTTAAAAATTTAATTTTCTTAATATTAAAAATATTTTTTATAAAATTAGTTCTAAGAAAAAACTATTTTTGTATTTTTCAGGGTCCTCCAAACGGATCCATCCATTTGACGGTTCCACGAGCACCTCCGCCGCCCAGGGCGAAGAGTCCGCCAGAGAACCAGCCTCTTTTGCAAAGCGCAACGGTTTCTAGTCGCGTGTCGCAGGCCACGATGAGCGAGATGCGAGTGTGATGCTTGGACCCCCCTCCGAAGCCAGTCGTCCCAGATGTCCTCACGGCGTCGACCTTGCTCTAGGCAGTTCGCCGCGGACCTGTTGAAGTAGCTTTGAGTAGCTATTAATATTTCGACAGGTCGACGCAGAATGTCCCAGGGAACGTGAGCTCCGGACGAACGGAGGGGGGTTGCTGGAGAGAGAGAGAGAGAGAGAGAGAGAGAGAGAGAGATTCCTCACAGCTGAGGGATGGTCGAGTCGAAATTGCCGGGTCTACCGAATATTTAAAAAAAGCCCTTCGAAATGCGCTATTACGAATTTTTAGAAGGGCAGAAATTGCACTGTACTGAGAAAATACAAATTAAAGGAACGTACATTTCAAATTTATTTTGCAGTCTCACAAAGTTCTTAATTTTTTCAAATTTAAAGGTATATTAAACTTAAAATGCATTTCTAAAGACAATGAACATTTCAAATTTCTATAGAAACTTATAATTTTGTGTAACTAAAATAATTGATTAATAAGAACACAATTTGCGATTTGAAAAGTATATAAAAAGTATGTTTTTGAACAAACTTCCTTACAATCTTAATAATTATTAATTTAATCTCAATAAACGAAAAAAGCAGTACAAATGAACAGCGCCTTGCTTGAAACAATTCGATATTCGGTAGACGTTGGTAAATATTTAATTAAAATACATAAGAAAGACAGAAAAGTGGCGAATCAAGCGATCATCCTGGATCAATCGAAATTTCAATCAAATTTTGCGCGAAGGAATCAAAGCGACGCATTCCGCTAATTAGTTGATAATGGAGAATCTCTAGTCGTTAAAGGAGATGAGAAAAGTGGTGGACGGCTCAATATAAATTGACGGCGATGAAGATGTAAAAAAGAAATACTCTAGCCACTACAATGTTAGATGTTCCTTGTACATAATATGAATTTATATATACCATAAGGACGCCAAAGTTTGCTACTTTCTAAGAGAACTGTATATGCATCATGCGTATCGTTTGTTACTTTGTTTTTCGGTTGGTGTGTTGATATCCACGCGTGACGTCATGTTGTTGTAACGTAGAGGAATGAACATAGAAAAACTATATCGAGAGCATAACGAGCGAGCTTGTTCATTGATTTTTGAATATTTAAAACCTTTAGTCTTTATACCTTTTTAAATCGTAATTTTTATAAAATATTTCGTATGTTTGATTGTATATAGAGAATTTTCTTTTATAAATAACTTATTTATTTATACAAAGTTCTAAAATTCTACTTTTAACTACTACTTTTGGAATTGGAACTAACTAACGTGAAAGGAAACCATTGATGCAAGTGATATCGCTCGTTATCGTTGCTCCAGTTAATACAACTGCCATGCAGGTGGCTTCATTGCGAACGATATGTATTGCACATATGAATTATGATACATGATACGCACATAGCATGATCTTCGTATCCTCTCCGTGTACGCGTATCTACACACATGTGTTTTATATGTATAACGAAACCGGACAATTTTAAATCATTGTCATGGATGTTTCTATTATAATTTTCTTTATTTCTGCCAATACATTATCTCGATCTTTATAACTAAGTATGAACTACTACAAAACAACGTAAGCATTATTCTTCATACTTTCATATCTTTTATACTTCCTTTGGATTCTTACAATTTTTACAGAGCGATAAACCTTGTTAAATAACGTGTTTTACATTCAAACGTGTCATACACGGGATAAGTCGATTTCCTTCGGAACTGTTACTCTTCTCGCAAAATACCACGAAACGATCCGATGTATTTTATCATGTGGTACAGATTCTTCAAAGTTCAACTTCCATCGGATACATGGTACGTGATTATCTTTTTTTTGTATAAATATATATACATATATAGGTGTAAAATAAAGTAAAACTACTATATGCATAATACACTGCCACAAGACTACAGAAATTAATATGAAAGGCTCACACTCACACACTTGAACTGCAATTCATTTCATATTTCATAAAATAATAAATTTACGAAATAAATTTATATATTTATTTAAAAATATTAAACAAAGTATACGTGTATCAATGCAAAATACAATGAAAACTTTAAAAGTTAATTTACGTTAAATGAAATAAAATCTTGTTTTGGCTATTTTAAGAACCTTTCTTTTATATATGAAATGAATTTATTGAAGTTTTTAAAATTAATTTAAAATTAATAGTTAAGTATTTAAAATTATATAAAAATGTTTTAATTATTAATCTTTAAGTTTGAAGATTAAAAGATCAATAAAATGTGAATGTTATCAAAATCCTGTTTGTAAGGAACCATATATCGATGATAATCGATAGACGAAAGTCAAAGTTTTGTACATATGCATCTTTGCTAAACATGATGTCAAAGAATGCATTTTGCTTGCTTTCTAAGCAAAACGAGACGATCGCGGCCACGAAGTGGCTTAGTTAGCTCCTGAAATCCTTAAATCCTTGGATCCTCATAATCAAAGGATCTTACCGTCCTAGAAGGATCTTATACTTTTGTAATTGAACTAACTCGAGTTCGTAGAGCGGAAAGATCCCAAATTGGCTGCAAAAACACCTGCTCATAAAACGTGGATGAAGGAAGAATGTAAAAATATCTTGGAGCCGTGATGTCTGACAGAAATAATGGCGAAACGATCCAAATGCGTTCGTGATTGGAATTTTGAAAAAAAAAACAAGACAAAAAAACGACGCCATATCGCCGAACGTAAATTTTAGCAGCATTCGCAAGCGTAAAGTAAATGTGTGGGCGTTGTACAATATCATCATCAAGTACGGGACAATCCGAATATATTAAAGATTAAGGAACAAAGCTGGTAATAGTAATTAAAAGTGAGCTGAAGGGAGAGTGATAGGGAGAGAAAAAAGACGAGAAGAGAAAAATACGTCGGACAGTTAAGCAGATGTTTAAGAAATTTAAATAACATATATATATATAAATATATATATATATATATATATATACATATTACACATTGTAATAAATTATTATATGACGGATATTATTATATTTATGTGAGACCTTTAGCTCTCTCTGGCCTCGCGCTCTTCTAGAACGATACCTCGATTATACTTTCCAGCCGAGGGCGAGGCTACCTGTTATGTTTAACGTTTTGTTGTCAAATTGTAAATACATAACGATATACATGGAAATTCTGATCGTTTACTTACTACATCCTTTCCATTTGTCATATGTATTATACATATATATTATGTAACATGCACGCATTTTTCAATTTTCAAAAATCATATTAGATATAAATTAAAATAAAAAATTAATTTTTGATCTTTAAACTTTTCTATTTTTAAGTTTTTCGGTTTCTAAATATGTATAAGCTTTTTATTTCTAATTTAACATCTAAACGCAAACAGTTGCTACATAAAGAGACAAAATTGTGATATTTGTTATTGAGCAGAGAGAAGCATGAGAGCGGTCATCCCGGCCTTTTTACGTGGAACCGTCAGAACCCCCGCTATTATATCCATTTTTGAAATGGGTATTACGTAGCTACATCCATTTTCGACATTGTCAATAAAATCATAACGAAAAATGGATATAATTACGTAGTATTATTCCCGTTTAAAAGAATGGATGTAATTTTTGTATAGCAGAATTCTGACGGTCCCACGTAAAAAGCCGGAACGACCGGTCTTATGCTTCTCGATCTGGACTGGCGATACTAGGTAAATTTCATAAGAAAATCGTCGATATTACCGATTGTTTTAAACTATTAATGTTATTTATAATACTTTTTTAAATCTTCTCTCTTGTATTTTTTAATACGTTTGCATAAAAACAAAAATAGAAAATATTAGATACTTAAAAATAAATAAATAAAAATAAATTTACATCAATTATATTCAAATAAAAAATATATTTACTTTTACATGTTTAATGTATTTTCTTTAGATTATAAAATTATTCCAATTTTTAATTATTAGAAAAAAGTATCTCTCTGTCGCTTTCCATCCGTCTGTCTTTCCGTCTCTATCATTGTGTCTCTGTCACTCTGTATCTGTTTCTCGATCTCCATCTTTCTGTTTCTTTTTACTTTTTGCAAAACTTCGTATTACATAAATTAATTATATATATTTCTTAAATTAAAGATTTCAACTCGTACCTACATACATATTATGTACGTTCTATGTTAATAAGCTGACATCATACAAAGAATCGCCTTAATATCCAACATGTAACATATCGTTAGAACAAATAAAGAAAGAGATTTAATAGTTATAATATAGTAAATCTATCGTAATATAGTTTACTGATTGAATGGTATTCTTACACGGTTGCGTATTATCCAGGTGACGGTCATATTTAAAATAATATTATTTAAAATGTGTATTCTAAATTAAAAAAAGTAAAAGAGTTATATATTTAGTATTTATTTTTCAAAAATAACTTGTTCTAATCTATTTCTTATTTAATATTTTATATATAATATATTTTTTGAAACATATTTAATATTTCTCATTTTAAACATAAGTCGTATGAGTTTTTTTACTGGCCCCTGCAATATTTTATTTTAAATAAGTTTCTGGAACATATTTTATATTAGTTATTTTAAATAAGTTGTGTCAGTTATTTAACAATCCCGGGTATTATCTATTTAGATTATCACACCGAGCGAGAAAAATCGGCTAACGGTAATTAATTTAAGTGATCAAATTATTTTATAGTTCAGTTAATTACAGAATTATTTTATCCATTTCGCGCGTATTAAATTATCCATTAGATTATCATAGAGTGTATCAAAAAATTATAATAATTAACCGCAAGCCAATTACTTTATCCCAGCCGTGCAACAGAGAAAAAGAGGAACCCATCGATTTCTTTCTCGTTCAAAATTAAATTATACATATAATAAGTCATGTGTGAGTATCTGTTTCTACGGTATTGTCGTCACTCGTTATTTCCAGAGAGCACGCAGAAATTATTCCTTCAAAATTCCATACAATTGAATTAATTAACATCGCGGTGAGCGGCGAGGCGCGCGGCGCGCACATGCGCGTGTAATTCTATAATAAGATAAAATAAAATTTAATAAAAAAAAAGTACACATTCAAAAGAAAAGAGGACCACCGATTAGAATCGACAGAGGTGGTAGAGGGCCTCTACAGCCACATCCATTTTTGATATTAATTTTATCGATAATGTCAGAAAATAGATGTAGCTGCGTATGTATCCATTTTAAAAATGGATGTAATGGCACTAGTGTACGGGAGGGTTCTGGCGGTTCCACGAAAAGGCCGGGATGATCGTTCTCATGCTTCTCTCTGTAATATTAGTGAGAAAGCAAGTTATAGAGAAATCCTGCTTCACTGAAAACGCTTCCCATATATCGATTGTTGGTACCTTCTAACTATACAATTATATAAAGGATAACACATTAATATATGGAAGGATTCTCGGAATTTATCCATCAAGCAAAGATTGCAATATATAATCTACTTCATCTTTAAAAAATATACGCATCAAAATCGGAAGATGGAAAGTTGAAGTTCCGGATTACTTATACACGATAATAAGAAAAAACAATAAATATAATATAAAATATGTTGTTCATTCTTTATACGAGCGATTTCTGGCTTAAATCACTAACTTAAAGTTTATCTTAATTTAGTAATTTAATCGATAGCTCAAAAATCTATATTATCACATACTTACAATGTCAAAATTTTTTATAATTTTTTTTTAAACGCAAAATACGATCTTGAATCAAATTAATATTCCGTATATACTAAATAAAATATTAATAAAAGAAGCAGAATAAAAACGTCTAGAAAATTTCTTGTTATTAAAAATTCGACAAGCTTTAATTAATTATATGTATAATTACAATTAGTTAATTAAGTCGTAATTGTAAAATGTTCTATCCCAACAGAAACAATGCAAACAACTGTACGTTATATTTTATAGTATAATATGAAATTAATGATGTAGGTACGTTTTTATGCGGTACATGTCTACGATGTAAAATACAAATTAATTTATAACGATATTATCAAACAAAATAGGTAACATGATATGATATCTGCTCGTTAATATGCAGAAACCTTTGTATTTTAATGAATGCAGTTCACGCTCAGAGAAAATAATATCCAAAATAAAATTGGTTATTATCTTTTTCAATTAAATATATAAGAGAGAAAATTTAACATATATTTCATAAATCTTTTATTTTTCAAAAGTATTCAAAAAAGTTACTATAATTACAAAATGCTTAAAAGAGAAAGAGAGAGATAGAGAGAGAGAGAGAGAGAGAGAGAGAGAGAGAGAAAGAAAGAAAGAGAGAGATTAAAGGTACTAAAGTTTGTATTTATTAAATCTTCTTATTCTTTTTAAACTGAATTAAAGCCAAAACAAAATAATAAAAATTATTTTTACGTTATTTAATAAAGATAAAATGTAGTAAGAGATATGACTTTTTTGTATATCTTAATGTAAAAGATTGCGAAAGGAAACTTTCTTGCCCTAGAGAATTTTTCACATTTGAAAAGGATTTGAGTGAACAGCTGATGATGCACGGATAAATGTTCTTATGGCTTATCTACAAACAGCTGTTGTATCAATCTGGTTAGCAGATCGCCTTAAACGTCGCTTGAGGCGTACTTTTACAAGGTGTGCATTCGTTATCCATTAGGGTAAATATAGCATGTGTGGTCCCGTCCCCGTTCTGCATGCGAAACCAATATTCATGCGCACGAACTATTCAACATGTGTACCCGACCATAATTGAATTATCATCGTGTGTCCCTGTAAGAGATAGTCAGTTCGTCATAACGAGCGCGCTACGCGTCACAAGTTGTCACGTTATACGAAATTAACATTGAACGGATTAACAGCATTAAGCATTCCGATGTCTCATCAATTATGTCTACCATCTCTATATTGATCTTATTCCTTATCCAATCGTTTCTCACAAAATTTTCCTTTTTTTTCTGTACATTATATAAAATAAAAATATTTTTTAAATATTTCGAAATGTTAAAATTTCAGAATTCTGGAATTCCTCATGTAGTTGATTTATTATCTATTTAGTTTCAAAATATTTTTGAGAGAATTTATTCTATTAATTTATTTTATTAATTTTAAGATTATTATGCTACTGTATTTTAAAATT